GGGAAAGGAGGAGAAAGACAAGTAAATATCTTTAAAATTTTCTGGTTTTAACTGTCAGTTTAAGTGATGTCACTCCATGGTTTTTATATATATATATATGTGTGTCTAAATTCTTGCATTTAAAAGCATTTCATCTCAACTTGAAACTAATCCACCTAACAGTCCAACTATTACCCATTTTATATAAGACTTTCCTGAAGAACCCTGAGAACACGCAAAGGGACAAGCGGTATGTTGTACTGGTAGTATTATATATTTTAATTTTTTTAAAGCAGTTTCACCCTTATGACAAGGTAGTATAGAGTAGTTGTAGGGTTATTATACTCCTGACCGCTAGATGAGCGCATTCTGTTTTGTTTCTCCCAGTTTCATAGGAAAAACACTGGTAGCTAGCGTGGACCTTGGGGCAGAGAAACAACTTCTTTCAACTATTTGTAGATGCATCTCTGTTGCTGTAGAAAGTCTGTTTACTTGTACTAACCTCTCAGCTCTTCCCCATTTCAGCTTCCTTGTACTCCAGAAACTCTCCAGTTACTGACACACCATTAAGTCTAGCTTAGAGTTCGGGTCAATTCTTTGCTTTCCTCTAGAAGTAGGTCTTAATATCTGCAGCAGTCTCACTATTTAACGACAGCTGTGTACTTCAGAAGTCTTCCATCTACTATTTATAATGCCAGCTTTATAATCTAATAATGGAGCTAGCCAGTGTTTATTCAAGCCTGACTTGCATGCTCAATACCTTCCCCTTGTTTGTTTAATTACCTATCAGTCACCAAAACAAATGGACCACTACTAAGACTTTTTTTAGTGGCGGGACCCCTGAAGACCCTGCACAGTAAGACGCACATGCTCAATTTCTCTATTTGCAGTGACTGTCATCTCCCATTCCAAAGTTTTTTGCTGTAGGGACTGGGCTCTAATCCCACTTCTGTGCCTTGTTTACAGACACACCTTGGATAAGTTTTTTAGTGAGCCTGAGAGTCCTTTCAATCCTCAGCATCCAGAAACATTAAAATTCTTACCACTGACTATTACTGATACTGACTTCAAAGATGTATCAAGAGTCTTAATCAGTTATTACCAATGAACCTCAGTGCAAGGTGTTCTAAAGCTGCAAACTATCATTGTTTTCCAGGTTGAGAGACTTGTAAGCAAATTTTCTAATGACTTTAGCCCTCAGCTATTCTTACTCTAAGCCGCTTAATGAAAGCTGAGGCCTGAAAATGCTTAAGGCAAAACATTAGTGGCACACCTGAGACTATATCATCTGTTTTTCCCCATTTAAATTCCAGCCTTGTTGCTGCCAGAGCGCAGTGGCATTTACAGTGAATACCGAACAGGTGTACTGACATAATGCAGCCCTGCCAAACTCCTTTCCTAATGTCAAACAGCGCTGTGCTTTTTGTTTCTCCAATTACTCCCCATTAGTAATACAGAGTATGCATAGCACGGAGTCCCATTTTCATGCAAGCGGCCCATGGCTTTTTGACAAAATAAGTGCATTGCTAAGACTTGGCTGTAAGAGCCCCTGTGTGAGTTTTCCTTATCTGCTAGTGGTTCTGCTCTTCTGCGCTTTCAGTCGTTCCAAAGCTGAATGATCGATTCTGTCTTTGACAATCTGGCCTGCCAGATGCTTATTCTAATACTGCATTTCCCTCCCTTTCCCCAAGACGAGCAGAAAGAGCAGCACTTCAGCTGGAAGATGAATGAAGCTCTTCAGCAGTCTGTACAATCCATTACTTCTTGAAGGTGGAAAGGCAGAGAATAGATATTGTCCCAGAAACCATCTTGTGACAATTAAACAGTTCACTAAATTTACTGCTCTCAAACAAGTAGATAGGAACACGTGGGCGTTCTATCTCCTCTGAATCATCTTGTATGGTTCAGCATCCTAAGTATCACAGGAGACAACATGCTGTGCATAAGCCCTATTAATCTACATTGAAACATCATGTTATCCTGTAAGCATTCAGTGCATGACACGTATCAGATTAAGGAAGCCCACACAAAGAAATATATGAATACTAATATCCCCTTTCTAAATGAAATACTTCCCATCTGCCCTTCAGGAAAAATGCAATCATTTATAGCAAAATTACAACTGCCTAGAATTTTAGTATCTCGGAACAAAACCTTACAGGGAAAAGGCTTACATGTTATACTACCAAATTACTGGGTAACCAATACTCTTTTTTAAAAAGTAAAAAGCCCTGAATCATTTTGATATCAAATTAGTTTGTCAAAACACGTGCACAAAATACTGCAAGAGGTCTGCTCACCCGAAAGGTCTCCTGCCAGCATAACAAACTTGCATAGCATTCAGTAAAAACTGTTTAAGATGATAAACCAATTAATCAGCTGCAGATTCCCCTTAAAAGGAGCCGGTTTCCAAACGCATTCATTCTTACAAAGCCAGGGGAATAAATCAGGGATTAAACTGGCCCCAAATGTCCTCTCCTCCCCCTTCGATCTTCTCTTGCTCCATTCTTTCATAAAACAGTTAATTTCTAGCATATCAAAACAACCCAGACCCAAAGACAACTTACAGAAATAGCAGCAAGGGTCCAGTCATATAGGAGAATATTTAAATGAAGGGAAACAGCCTAAATTGGCAGCTGACATATCTAGTGAGAGATCACTGGTCCACTGGGAACAACTCCTTGTACCTGGGAGGGTCTGCTGAACTAGAATTCTCATTCTGAGTCAACTTGTGTTCAGTAAACCTTCACTGTAACAATATCAGGTTTTTTCCTACCTATATTCTGTTCCTTCTGTGTTTAATCACCTTCCTTCCTAAGCAGCCACAAGTAGGTTCTATTATCCCTATACCAAAACCCTACTCTTGGACTGCACCCCCAGTCCCAAAAAGAATTAAAAACAAACAAACAAAACAAAAAAATACTTTAGACCCTGCCTCATGAGCTTAGCTAATGGTATCTCAGGACAAGCAAGAATGCTAACTCTTTCATTACTGCCCAAAAAGCAGTCTTCTCCCAAATCTCTGAGGGGCACCCACTTTAAAAAAAAAAAAAAAAACAAACAAACAACCACTTCAGCCATAGAATGGTGACAGGTTTTAAAAACCCAAATGTCAGTCTTCTGTGCACCACATACTCCATCTAGTACAGATAGACCCTACTACAGATCTTCTTGAGGCTTTGATTCCTGTTTCCTTGCATGGTTCAATGAACAAACAATTCCTCACTGGTGCTGCCCAAAATTTTAGTAGCCCTCAAGTAAGCGCTTCTTGATTACAACTATTCAACTAATACTGTCATTGCAAATGTAACGCAGTATCTTGCTGTTATGCCGAGACATCAGAAGCAGAAACCTCTTTTCCCTAGAAACCTGTGCCATCCTCCCCTCCCTATCTTGTGTACTAATGTCTGAAAAAGCAGGAGGGAGAAGAAGTGTCCCATTCTCTGGTAAACTCTCCCACAGAATCGAAGCAGGTACAATTTTCACTCAGAAACTGGAACGGTTTCTGAAATTGCTACTATTTGTCAATGTAATTTTTTAATCAATTTGTATTTTTCAGGCTTTTGCTTTATAACTACTGGTGATAATGAGATGGTAGAAAAGAAATTCTGGATTTCAGCATATCCCCCTCAACTAGAGGTTTTCACTCGCCCTTTTCTGCCTCAAGCAAAGGCCAGTTTTATCAGTCAGTCTCTCCGGCTGACAAAAGAACTGCAGGCAGTTCCAATACTGCACATACCTCTGGCAAAATGAACTGCTCTACTGGCTTGTACCACAACCTGTTCACTTGCACTCCACAGCTTGGTGGACTAAAGCGAGCACTGAAGAGAGCTTCCTGTGAACAACAGAAAAGATAAAAAAAAACAGAACCAAAAAAAAAACCAACCATGCATTAAAAGTGCTGTGAGATTATGCAAATCTTGATCATCTCAGTTAGTTACAATGGAAAGAGGCTTATTGATTGTATAAAACCTAGTGGAAGTTTCATTCTCACAACAGTCTCTCAGACTCCACAGAATTCAAGTGTTGGATTGATAGGGTGGAAGCAAGCAACAATGGAACAAGAGTGCAAGTTCAACTAGAATCCAACCAACAGAGCACATCATCTGGAAGACTCGGACTCACCTCCCAGTCTACAGATTTTCTACCTTCTGTTTAAATAGCTGACTACTATTAATCGCAACAGAGGATGCTGACCCCTAAAACTTTATTGCTACTATATTAGATAGGCCACCAAACAGCTCTTAGATAACAGCAAATGACGTAAAGATGCTGCATTGCCAGGTTCCCAATCTTCAGAAAACAGTCTCCAAGCACTCCTATGATACTAATTTTTCTCCTTCACTGGAAGTAAAAAACTAATGCAGATCAAGTTATTAGGCTCTCAATGTTTAGAATTCTACCATTTAGCAAACATAAATCTGACTACAGTAGACTCTTTTTTTTGCTATTATAAACCCAACTCTTTGGAAGTTCATCATAAAAGCCATACTTCAGTGTATTTTCTGTACTTGATTTTGATTATTACCTTAAATTTAAAATTCTTTCCACTGTAGCATAGCCAGAAGTCTTGAAATTGGCCTATCAAGTTATTGGTAGAGATAAATGCAATATACCAAATGCAACAATCATGCTCAATGATTTTTTTTTTCCCTCCAGATTAGTACTAAGCTATTCTATCAAACCCATAACAGCTTGGGAGTGGGGGAAATTATCACTGAAGTTTGATTATTACCTGTAAATAATACCAGTTTCTAGAAATCTCAAAATGTCTTGCCAGAAGACAAACAAGAAAAAATTACAGCTGTCCTGCATCTCTCTGCTGGAAGGCACCAGATGTGCCTTTCTGCACATGTGTTTTAAATATATTCAACAGTTTATTTTTTATTCCTTAAGACCTATCAATACTTTAGAACCTCAAATGCAATCAAAATTGTGTCTTGGAATCAGATATAAGCACTCTTTCAAAAGGGCATTTAAATTAACTCATAGCGCTCCGTGAATTTCATCTTTTCATCTTTTGCATGTGTGTGTGTATATATGTATCTGTGAAATAAGAATTTACAATGCAACAGAAGAAAAATATAATTCATATGCTTGTCAGTTAAGTACTTCTCTTCTAAATCATCAATACAGCATGTCACCTTCTGTAAGAACTTTAATCCACAATAAAGAGAAAACATGCTTTAGTCCACTTTCAAAAGATAACTACAATACTCTACCTCATGTTCTGCCTGGTACAGTTTTACAGTGATGTTCCTCTGGAATCCCACCCCATCAGCCTCATAAAATACCCCAAGACTGGTAATGACAATGGGGTAAAGTACACGGAAGTTCACACTGACAATTCTGTCTTCAGATAGCACAGAAGGTACATCCTCAGGGAGACTGAATGCTTCAATTTCCTGATTCAAAACTGTATGAAGAAGAAAGGACAGGGGTAATGTGAGAAGACTTCATAGTTCTTGAACTGGATACACGCAAAGCATTCTGATAATTCTGATTAATTAGCATGGCTTGCAAGTGCACAAGGATAATCAAATGCTGGAGGAGAAGAAAATACGACTGGCTGCAGACTGCAGCAAGGAGAAACTCAGAGTGATGCAGCAATCTGCCAGCTACCAGCAATTGCAAGTCAATGCCTACGTATCCACAGATAAAAGATTAGAAACACAATAAATCCACAGAGTGAAGACAAAAATGCTATTTGATTGCATGCATATCTGTATATTAGCATATTAAAATAATTATTCATGTATCAAAATGGCATACACCTCCACTTAATTCAGCTGCCTGCTTTTTGGCATTATCTCCTCCCTAAGCCCTGAGGTACCATTTATTCATGGGAAATTGGTTAAACAGTGGATGTTGCCGTTCAAAGAGAAAGTAACAGAAGTTTCATTTTATGGTGAATCATAGCTTAAGTGCCAAGCAGTCCTTAGTTAACTTGCAATTAAAGAACAAAAATTGAATAGAAAATAAAAGGTGACAGGAAGAATTTACAATTTTAGTTAGGAATTTTTGTATGGCAGCATTTCATTTTTTCCCCACGGTACATGTCTTCATTGTTCCCTCTCTAGGGTGGAATCTGAAAAACCTATCAGCCAGACTTGCTTAGAATTCCCTTCATCACCAGAGAAGTCCACCTGACACTTGAGACTGGCACCTTGCTACTGTCTTCATGTATGACACTGGACCAGGTCATTCCAGCTCTCTCCAACTTCATTTTACACAGGGATCGAGTAAAAATGTACGTTATATGGGAGAGAATGTCCCCCAATGCAAGCAAAATGCTAATCCATTAGAAGCCAATGGCCTCCCCTTCACAGCCCCAAAGATATCTCACTTTCTTGCCTGCACATGGTACTTAAAGGAAGGTTATGGAACTGTTAAGACAGCAAGTTCTAGGCGGCATTTATTTTCAAGACTGGCGGTCTCAGTTAAGCACCCCAAACTACTCTCATAATAAAAGATGATTAGTTCTAGTTCAGATCACAGAATTTTAAAAAGTTAGTTTTTATACCTGGGTTACTGATGTTCAGAAGTTTGCAGGAGTAGGGGTCTTCTCTGTCCTCCACTGGCACAGCACAACCATGTGCACCTATTATAAACTTCACAAGGACACTAAAATAATTTGGTTTTATTAACACCAGTTCTCTTCCCTCCTCCCTCCACCTTCAATAAACTTATTTCATCACAGTGGTCTGTCTTTCACAGGATTAAGATTTTGAATCCCTTAAAAATCAGCAATGAGAGTCTCTATGTAAAGCAACCACGTTAATCCCCTCGTAGGGGCTCAATTCCAAACCCACATTAGCCTTTTACATTTCATAATGAGGGCGCAGGAAGATTGGCAACTAGGAATGGGATTCAAGACAGTCAGCACACTAAACAGAAAAAGACCTAAGGCAACACTGAAGCCCTGCCTTTCTCTGCCTGGCTTTGTTATTAATTCAAGATTGTTTGAATATTCTGCATTCAAAAGGCAATGAAAAAAATAATAAGAAAAAAGACACATAGCATCAAAGAAGGAACAAGGACTCCAGACTACCCGTTATGATGAAATGTCTCAGCTTCAGGATGTAGCAAAACAACAGGTTGCTCTTTCCAGCCCCAATCATGGTTGGGCCACAGTCAGGAAACAACAAGCAGTATGAAGAGCAAGAGGATCCACCTTAGCCCAGTCTTTCACCTAGCAGCTAAATATCCTCCTGGAACTCCGTATAAGCTATGAAAGGTCACATTTTTAGACTGAAGTAGCTATGCTTCACTCCAAACTGCACACTGACACCAAATTTGTGAATGGCAAATGGCTTTCAGCGCAAGGCAGGTACCACGATATGAGGCCTATCAAGATGACAATGTTTCCAGGAATGAACTGCAGCAGAACTTTCTCAGCACGAGCAGAGCTGTCTGCAGACTGTCAGGTCTACACAACCCATCAGGAAGGGTTCTGCGGGTCACTCACACTGCAGCAGTTTGGTGTACCTGGTGCAGTGGGAAATGAATCTGAACTTTACAGCTGAGGCCGTTGTAAGCGTTGTTTGTGGTTCTCACCAAATGTGATCCTGCCTGCTTTCAAGTATCCTGAATTACTAAGCATTTAAAAGTTGCATACTGTACAAAGCGCACATTGCAACACCAACAAGGGAAAGTCTTATACATCACCAATGAACAGTGGCAACTAATTGCAAAAACACACAGTAGTGAACAGTCAAACAATTACATTTTATTCCTTGTATAAAAAATAGTTCCAGCCCAGAACGAACAGTATTCTTACATATTACTAAGCAGATTAAAAAAATTATCAGAGTACAAGATGCTCACAAATAAAGCAAAAAAAGGAAATACTTTCAAAACAAAAGGATTAAATCAAGATATTTAAGCATTACAGTCTTTCCCCGCTCCCCCTCACAAAGCCCCAAATTACGAAACACTAGAGATTACCGTTGGCTCAGCGCAGGATGTTGTTTCAGGTGCTTGAACCAAGTGTTCCTTATAACACTGCGCAGTTCATGATTGTGTCGAGCTGACAAAACACCTACAATAACATCATAATGTTTCAGCTTCCACTGAGGAAAGAAGGCCAGTGGACCTAGAAATACAAAGTGACAAAGATTTATTATATGCACCTATTACCACAAGCCTGAGTTGCAAGCAATAATTAAAATGCATCTCAAAAGCAAGAGTACTGGGAACCTGAAACACTAAAAACAAGAAGTAGAATTACTATTGCATTCTTGGTTCAGAATCAGGGGAACATTTTCAACATGTCATAACCTTCACTAGCAATCTAGGAAAACTTTACTGCAATGAACTAAACAAGTCACTGCAGGTAAACAAAACTAAGAAACTGTGACTCACAAAGCAGGCAAGAACATAAGCCAGTTTTGACTGACAGCATCTTCCGTTCTTTAAATGTTTGCCTGCCTGTCTTATGAGCAAACTGCCCCCTGAGAACATGCTCTTGCTGGGCTTCTCTTTCCTATCAGCCATCAGAAACCTTGTGCCAAGATACAACATCCTACTGTTCCCTCTGCAAAACTCTTGAGCCAGTCTGGGCCTTCTGCTTGCTCATTGATACCTCCTCTAGCACGATTTACCCTAAAGCCTGAGGGCTTGTCATCGCTGGTACCAGGCCTTCACTATTAGAATTCACCATTATTTTACCTATATTTAAGAAATATTTAAACAAGGCCTGTCAGATTCAGAAATATGCCCATTTTCCCCCCTTCTTTTTAAAACTGCTGGACCACCCTTCTGCCTCACCATTTCAATCTAGTATGTCAAGGCCTATCGTTTCTAACCTTTTGAAGTTGAACACCACTCTGCCTTCACACAGGTTATTACATCCCTACACAGGGGAATGCTCTGGCTTTATTCATAGCTGGATTTCACTGCCAATACCTGTAATCCATGATTTAGCTTGTGCTGTTTTAATTTAGAGATCATGAAAGCTGGACTTGATTTCAAGCAAGATTATGACCAGATAGAGACCTGAGAAGCTCTGACTTTCAGCCTGCAAACAGTCAGGCAAGTAGCTAAAGTGAATTTGCATAGTTTAATTTATCAGACATTCTAGAGTTAAAAGAGATTTGTATTTAGCTTTAGCAAAGGATTGCTTTCCTCTCCTCTCACTATTTTTTTTTTCATTAGGCTGCAGATAAAGAAAACAAATGTAAATGTGAGGGCCCTCTAAACTACTGCATACAACATAGACAAGATTTTTTAAAATCTAATTTTAAAGAGACCAAAAATATCTCCAAGTCTGTATTGTGTACTCCTACTAGAAAGAGTTGAATTATAATCCAGACTCCACCTTCTGTACCAGCATCCCCTTTCTCCACTTTGAAACTGAGAAGATGGATGGGTCCTGTTACCACTGCTCACTAACCCAGGACCTCACAGCACTCACCACAAGAACTGCTGTGCCAAATCACACCAGACATCCATCTAGCCTTATATTCCATCTTCAGTGTGCAGTACGCAGTGGAGAGGCCTTCGCCTTTCTCTGAGCTGAACCAACATCAAGAGATTTCAGAACTTTTTTTTTTTGTTGTTGTTGTTTAGGGGCTATTGATAATGGTGCGCACCTGACTCCCTAGTCCCAAAGCCAAATAAAACAGTGCTCTGCAATTGATTCTCTGAACAGTACAAGAGCAGGGAAAGTACAGAGTGATGTTTCCACAGACAAACCTTTCCCAGTCTATTTCCCACCAAATATTTTAGTTCTAAGCACACAAACACTGATTTTCAAGAAAAAGGTTAAGTTCCACAATTACTTAAATGAATCTGTACTGACAACAGCTACAAGCTTATCAATAACTTAAGCTGAACGTTAACCTATTGAGAAAGTTGACATCAACTTATGCTCAGAACGACTTAAAAACCCAAGCAGCAAGCCACTAGTTCCATTCCTCAGTTTTTCACTTAGAGTCAACTGTTACATCTCTAATGAATTGGTGGCAAGGTTCAGGAATATGATTTGCTTGCTGACAGAGCTAAATACAAACCCACTGCCCTATATAACATCTGAAGAAACCTGTAAATCAAACACACTGCTCAGTCTGAATGCAATTTTAGTTTTCCTTTATGCTGGTAAATAACGACTGTCCAGAGGCTCTCTCTGTCTTCAGAGGCTATTACATAGCCAAGATCCGCCAGGTCTCCACAACAGCAGAGGTACATGAGACAGCCACACGTTTATAAGACTATAACATTATAGCAAATTCCTCTATAGTCTCACAATTCTTTCTCACACGTCCCTTTTCTTTCCTGGCTCTTCTTCCATCCTTTGATTATTCTTTAAACGGCCTCTACAGCCTTAACCGCAAGCCTGCCGATATAAATCTCATAGGAGGACTAATGTGTTTGTAGACTGCACATGAGGTATTGTTTACACAGATTTGGTTTTTAAGATATCACTTTTAATTAGAAGCAGAACCATTTCATTAAACCAAAATTAGAGAAAAATAAAACTAAGAGCAGAAGTCTATGGGGTGACTTAACTCAGAATAGCATAACTTGGCTTAAAGCAATTTAAAAAAAAAAGCTACTCAAATCAAATATACATACTTTTAATTAGTTTATATTTTAAAATGAGTGAAGCTTTTCCTTATGAACCATTCACGTGGGAACAATGTTAATGTAACAGATGCTTCAGAATTAATATCCTACTGCTTTTAGAACAGACAGCTCTTTCTTGTTTTAGGCCTTCTTCAGGCTTAGTAAGGTAGCATTACAGCAGTCTATATTCAGAAGATTGTCTTCTCTGTCCAAGGGTTATGCCATTTTACTTTTAAAACCACTGAAAATGGAAAAAAAAGAAAGCTTACTTTCACAAAAACCTAATGAATAAGTTCTCTGCTTTTTAGCAAAGGTTTCTACTTCCTGTGGAAAAAACATTTGCTAAACTTTCAGGAAAAGAGATTCCTATGTTTCTCTCTGAACCAGCACTATTAAAAAAGGGGAGATAAAGTCAGAGGCACAGGGGAAAAAAAAGACTAAGGCTATTATTCATTTATAAGGATTATTCAGATATGTGCATATATATACACTCTGATGCAGCATAAGTTAAGAGAAAACATTGCTGACCTCCAAGTCACTAATAACAAAGTATTTATACAAGCAATCAATACTTGCCACTGGGGACCAAACTTATTTATCATATGTTCTATTTTTGTGCATTCTTAGGCCAAAATTTTAAGTCTTGGTAATAGGCTTAAAAAACACACACTATATTGCTCTTACCTTGCACTGGTTGTGCAAGATAATTAAGCCTTTAAATTTTCCAATTACAAAGACAAAAAAAACCCTGTAAGCCATTTACGAGATAAGAGTGGGGGGGGGGGGGGGGGGAGAAAAAGAAAAAAGCTGCATACCACATTGCACAATAAACCCTAAAAGTGTTGCTAACCAAAGGGATGCAGAAGGAGAGGAAGCCTTTCCAATTCAAAGGTCACACTTTCACTAGTTGCATTGCTTTTGAATTCCTACTGTCTTAAAACTGCATCGCAGTTGCATTACACAGCCCAAGACTTCTCAGTGGAACGTAAGTAGTCAAATGTGCAATGCCTACCCTACGCTCTTTTAGCATCAGGAACAAAATTGCTTTCACTTTGCTGTTTTGCTTGAGGCTGTTAACCCACAGCAAAAGCTACAAAAACATGAAAGGAAGCAACCCTCTCAGCTGCTGAGAGCCATTTAATTCTGTACAGCAACTGTAAAAAGTACTTTTATCAGCTCTAAGACTACTGAAGTCCAGCCCGTCAAGAGTCTTGTGTCACCTGGTTACTAACAATCTCCTACTGAACCTCTCCTGGGCTGGGGTATTTGTAAGGACAGGCTCCCACATAATTCTCTGATGTCTGACCATACACCTATTTCTATTAGTACAGTTTTTCACCTCAGTATGAGCTGCAGTAAGCTTTCACAGGATTCTTGGTCACCAATTTTCATGAACTTGGTGAAAATGCTGGTCTTCGGGACCTCCACCTGTCTGTCAACCTTGACTGAGAACTACCAACAGATCAAAGTTAGGGAGAGATGCAGGAAGAGGTAAACAAGTGCATATACAGAGCACAAAGCTGTGCCGTTAGAAGACAAGGCTAAAGATGCAGAGGTGTGTCTCCTGCTGAGCTGGCCATGGAAAGAGCTCACTGCTGACAGGCAGTCTGCTGGCCCTGGTCAGATTTTAACCACCTCAGCAGCAGTCAACAGCACTTGCAGTTTTTCAGAATCCAAAGCTACAAAGATTAACATGCATCTCTTCTTCCTGTGAGACTGATTCTCAAGTAAAATGTCAAGTTAAGCTGTTAATTATATTTACTGTCATTATAAGGAGATGAAAAGATTGAGAGATCATTTAGCTTGATTTTGTCAATAAACAAGGTAAATATGATCTTGCTGCACATATCTCTACTGATGAGTCCCTTACCAACTACTAAATTTGCCAGTCATTTTCAGTCAAGTTTGACATAGTGTGCAGTCCCCAAAGTGAATAAGTTCCCACGTTTCATGGAACTGGACTGGACAGAGAAAAGACTCCTTGTTAGTGCCCACGCTGAGAAACACAGCAGTGTAGGCTTACCTGCACTACCAGGCACCAGAGAACCTCCACTGGAGACTGCTAGAATAAGTGAGCTTCTCAGAAGGTTGGGCTTTGTATCTTCTGCTACCCATGCAGCTATTTTTGTTTTGTTTTTAAATCAATGAATGGAACAAAGTAGGCCAGACAGAAGTTATTAACAATATTCTCAACTAATCCACTTCATATGATAAAACTAAAAAGGAACAACACCCCCTCCCCTCCAGACCCCCCCCCACGCACATTCCAGTTGTTATCTCTGCCAATTCTTGTGACTTTGCAACCATATTCCTGTTTTGAAATGCCTTTCTCTTTCTTCTGTGCTACTTTGTGAAAGATCCAAACAAACACAGAGGAAGGAATTAACTGAATATAAAGAAGGTTTGTATTCACAGAATGCTGACACATGCAGAAAAAGAACAAATCAAAGAGCAAAAGCAGCTCTTTCCCCCTCTCTAATCTTCTTCACTAAAAGTAATCTGCTATAGCTCATCTGCATTACAGGTTTC